CGTCTGTTCTTCTCATTATATGACCAGCCCATCGATGTTTTGCCTTTCGAGACATATTCCGCTGGATCGCGAAGACGAGACATTGATCTCATATCTGAACTGCGAGGTCCGACGGGATGTTGAGTGCGTCGGTTGTACTTCAGAAGACGTCGTACCAGCGCTCTGTGGTTGTTCGGAGAGCCTTTGACATAGCCACAGTGTCAGGCCACGTCTCTGCTGCGTAACAGAGATAGAGAACGGGCCCGAAGGCGGCCCAAGCTGCTCTTCGCCTCCAGTTTACTTCTTCTTTCAGATCGTTCTCCATATTCATCGAACGTCCGAGATATACGTAAAAAGACGTCTTCGCGATTGGAGAGCCTTCTAATTCCATTTTCTGATCTTCATGAACTGAGTCTTCTTGCGGTAAATTCGCAGTCCTAACCGCTTCGTTACCTTGTTTAGCTCTTTCAGCCGTCTACGCTTCAGTGATTCCTTGAGAAGAGAACAATGTCATCCGCAAAACGAAAATTCGAAAGTCTCCCATCAACTCGTATACCTCTCTTGTTCCAATCTAGTGATTTCATCACCCACGGAAAGCGGCGGTAAACAGCTACAGCGATACGGTGTCGCCTTGTCGACCTTTCGAGATTGATGTGCTAAGGGGGCGATGGAAAAGCTGTACCGTTGTAGAGCAGTGCTTGTAGCAGTCGGCCGATGTCCCCACGTAGTATGGGTCCACCCATGAGCGCTGACAGTATGGCATCAATCTCGACGCTGTCAAACGTCTTTTCTAGTCTGACGAAGGTTAGGACAAGAGGTAGAAAATATTCTCGACAAACTTTAATCTTCGAAACCGTCCGTATCAAGGACACTGGAAGCTCAACCTGTTGAACAAGCTGGATTCTGGAAGGGATTCAGCTGCGTGGATCACTAATCTTCCTGAAGAGCTTGTAAAACACGCTCAGCAGGCATATTGGACGGTAATTCCGAAAATCTTCCCTATCGCCCTTATAAAGGAGGATCGGATTCTCCATTGATCGGAGATTCTTTCCTTTCGAAGATAATACGGTAGATGTGCCGCAAGTATTATGTGCCGGCTATGTCCTCCAGCTCGTAAGAGGTCGGCCAACATGGCCAGCCCCGGAGCCGTGGCTGCATCTTTTTGTGGCGCGCATTTCAACCGGTATAATTCGTGGTGGTATTTCTCCAGTGGGGATACTGGAGTTTGACACGGATGTTGATGAGCGGAATAGAATGTTGTAGAATCGCTTTGGAATCGACCATATTCTGTTGGGAAGTGTGAGTCCCATCTTCGTTTAGTAACAGCGGAACAAAGTAGTCAAGAAGGTCCCGGCGGCTTTCTTTAGACTTCTCCTTTTTTGTGCTGCTTTCGAAAGTTTCCATTGCTTTTATTTTCGAAGATCTTTTTGCAAAGCTTTCTCCAACTGGTATTGGCTATCAGTCGCTCGAGATGTGATGCAGTTGGATTCAGCCTCAGTGCTCTCCTCCTCTCTAGCAGACCTTGGTGGCTTTCGGAATTCGTCCCAAGTTCCTTGTTCAAGGCATTGAGGCACTTTCACCACAGGCCCTCAATCCTCTGAGAAGCAGGTCGTAGTTCTTCGTTGGATTCACCTCGATGGGCCAATCGCAATTGGTTAGGAGCTCCTCCAATTCGACGCCGTCATATACGCCCTCTTTCCTTCCTCAAACACGATGTAAGATCTCCTCCAGCTTCCAGCTGAATACTTCTGCTCGAAGGAGGCGGTGATCTGAACCACTGCTCAAAGATGTACCACTGAGATTTTCAGATTTTAAGCACCACCTTCGATTGGCTAGAATGTGGTCGTTCTGCGCATCGTACCGTTGTATGACTCCCATGTTCACCGCCATTCTTTCTTCATGAAGATGAGTTGCCATAAAAAAGTCGTGCGACAGTGGACTCCAACAAGACGGTTACCATACCGTTTGGAGTCCACCGGGGTCCTGACCCAAATCTCCCATATGCTCCCCTTCTTCTAACACCCCGATTTTCGCATTGAAGTCACTCATGGCAAATCAGAAGGATTTCACTTTGCGGATGGTTTCCTCCAAATCACCAAGTCAACTCATCAGCTGTTGATGTTGGAGTGTAGTAGTTGATGATATGGTTTTCTTATGGAGAGGAGCGAAAGATAACCAGGCGAGGTGATATATTCCCATGCGAATCGAAAAATGAACAACAGATGGGTGTACGACAAATTCAGCCTCTAACATTCCGTGATGGAGC